AGTTAAGTTCCTGGGGATAGATGGAGTGCTTCCTCCCTCTCTCTATATATAGAATTGAATAATGATGTCAGGATCTGGGCAGCTTCAGTGCTCCCCCACTGGACAATTCCAGAATAACAGCCCTGGTAGTTTGCAGGATTAGTTCCAGTCTCTACTACAGCTGCCAAGGCCTTCATGAGCACCACCTGGGATCCCTGGGAGAAGAACTATTTAAGAAGTGGCTCTTCCCTCTAGAAGCTACTTTAGCAACCCTGGTGTTCAGTTTCCTGAAGCTTTTTCATTGTGTGTAGCTTATCTGCCTCCAAGGTACCTAGCTCCTGATTGTGCTCTCTTCCTGGTTCTTGATCTTGAGCTTGTTTTGACCATGTTCTTGTTTACTGGGCTGCTCAATGACTGAATGCTGGTTTTAACCCTGGCTTGTTTGGTATTGGAATTGTGATTTGGACTGGTGCCCCTTACAGTACAGACACCCCAGCACTCTGAAAATTGGGTGAACCCGCTGTCAGGATCAAATTTGGCGAAATTTAAACTTGTAGTATCAATTCTTTCCTGTAGAAAGGGTGGCATTTGAATCATCTGTCCCAGGAAACTGATGGAATCGAATGGATTTTTAAATGCTCTTGGAGATTGTCCAGTGGAGAAAGCTGATAATCTAACAAAGGACCTAATCTTATTATGGAATAGTGGGATTTGAAGGGTCACCAATTAGGTTGTACTGCACCTGAGTGTCCTCTCTGGTGCTGTGGAACCTGCTTTGCTCTCTAGTATACACAGGCACTGCAGACAATGGATATTGGCTAGAGTGCAAATAGCATAAAACTCATGCTGTAGAGCACATCAGTGTACCTGCTCCCTCATGATGTGGGTTTACTTTGCTGACATAATTGCATCCTTGTGAGGACTGTTAAAATTCTCTTCACTGAATGGTCTTGCAAAACTTTGTTCTGACCCTTCTGCCTTGCACCTTAAAAACAAAATCATTTGATTCCACAGTAAACTTTGATACTGCAGTCCCAGTTGAGGTCTCTGGCATGACTTTCTGCCCAATTTTATGGGGTTAGTTTCTCTTGCTGTGCTTTCTCAAGCCTTGTCATTCCTGGTTAATATCAAGTAGTCAAGGAAGTATGACTGGCTGGAACCAGGGAGTGGTAAATGGATGAAGAGGTGGTTCATACCATCTGTAAGGAAGCAGTGGTATAACCACACCTGAAAATCTGTGGATTAATAGTATTTGACAACTACTCCCAGTTGTAAATATTCCTTTATCAGGTACTTGAAAAGGTCATGATGGAGCAACTGCAGGCACTGGTAAAGAATACTGATTAACCCAGGGTCCCCAACCTCTGGGGTGCCAGCACCCACAGGGGGTGAATGATTGCATTTCAGGAAGGCTGCATCACAGTTTGCCAAACTGGCAATCACAACATTTTTCACCAAAAATTATCCTAATAAATTCATTTGGATATAGTTCTCTTTTGTCAATCAAGACAAAATCTAGGAATTGTCTGAATTCACATGCAGACTTGCCATTCATAATCAGCAAGTAAGTTCCACATTTGGACAAAATTGTGAATGCAAGAGCAAAGAAATCATTGAATTTTATGTTAACATTGGGATTGATTTTTACTTTTTACAATTTTTTCTAATTGCTCAATTTATTTCAATTTCAAGCACTAAGTTAAAAGCTTATTTTTGAGTTCAATTTGTTCACCCAAAGTACTATTTGTAGTTCAATTTGTGGTCCAAAAATCAGAAATTTGATTTCTTCATCTCCAAATGTGCTATTCCTGTTGTAGGAGGTGTGAACATAATTCAATCATTTCTAGGGGTGTGGGGCATAGAAAAGTTGAAAAACAAAGATTAAAAGCCCATTCCAGCCTAGTTACAGGACCTAGTCAGTCCTGTAACTACAGTATTAGTTACTCTGAACGATGGCCTTCTTCAGAAGAGAGACAGGAAAGTGTGACCTTGTTAGTTCTTTCCAATCTCTTCTAGCTTTTGATATCATTGACCATGGCTGGGATTCTCCCAGATCAACTCAATAGGCTGGGCACTGGAGTTTCCAAATTCTCTATTGTTTTAACATCTATTTGAAACCTCTGGGAGTAAGGGATTTCAAGCAAAGTGCCACTAGTGTGCTAATGGCACAAAGCCCTGTCTCCCTGTGACATATGAATCAGTGGAGTCTGTGAAAGTCTTTGTGCCTAGATGTAGTGATGATCTGAAGAGTAAACTGAAGCTGAAAACTGTAAAGATGGAAGCCCCATGTGTGGTGGTGCCTGAGTCTGAGAGAGTATTATGTCATGTTTTGGATGGGGTTGTAATCCCTTTGAAAGGTCAGGTTTGAAGTCTGGAGGTACACCTGGATCCAGTACTGTCACTGGAGGCTAGAGTGACCATAGTGGCTCAGAGTGCTTTATACCATTTTAACTGGGCACCAGCTATGGCCTCTGCTGGACAGCAAGAGCTTGGCCACAGTGGTACACATACTACTAACCTCAAGGCTGGAGAAGTGCACCAAATGCCCTAAACAACCTCATACCAGGGTACCTAAGAGACCAGCTTCTCCCTTATTGAGCTATCCTAATTGAATGGACGTGCCTGGTGGTTGCAGTTAGACCTATGGCCTGACTGGAGCCAATCCAGAAAAAAGTGGTGGTTCCCTTTCTTAGATCCTAGATCAGGCAGGTAACAACATTATGCCATTTTCAGTGCCTGCTGAAGATACTGTAATTTCAAAAAGCCTTTTATAATTGAGCAGCCATGGTTTGCATTGTTGCTCTGTTTCTTTTAAATATTTAATATGTTTTAGTTTCTGGTTTAAAATTGTGACCTATTCTTATCTCTTATTGTTCATCACTCCAGAATCTGGAGGTCATATTGTAGGTAATTTCTTCAATCAGGGAGTTTGTTTCCAATCTGTTCTAGTTGGACACACCCTCTGTTGTTGCCATTGTACTACTGGCTTAATGAACTAATCCACTAACCTGGCCACATTTTAATCTATTTCATGTATATTTTATTTTCCCCTTTTGATATAGCCTTTAGTAGTCAGTTAATGGTACTTGGTAAATGCTCAGATACACTTAGCATATGACATGGCCCTGGTACTGAAAATAGCACCCTTGGTAGAATTCTGGTACAGTGATAAGACAAATAATGTTATAGGCAGGAAAAGATAATGGCACCTTTGCCCATAACATGAAAGAAGTAAGACAGAGTTGTAAAAGCCAAAATATCTTAATGATGTTGGGAGGGTTTGTCTATTGAACAAGTGATGGAGGAAGGAATAATGGGGAAGGTTTGGTGTGTTGTCATTTTCTTGCAACCACTGTGATCAGTGCCTAACCTATAAAAAGAAAATGCTTAGGCTTTCATCTGTGTAGCTCAAATTTCTCAGATGTGTGAGAAAAACATTCTGCACATGCTCAAAGGCACCTTTATTTTACTGTTATTGTTTTGCTAACATTGGTGATAGTAAATGTTAGTAATTCTTAATTTGGAAACATACATGCACCTGCAAGTTGGTGTCATGGTCCCGTTCCCTAAATCTTTTAAGCATCCAGCAAACCCATGTTCTGCAGTTGTTTTGATTTGTTTCATTGTATCTGCTTTTTTTAATTATATTTATTTATTTATTTATTTATTAAAACATTTTTATGCCGCCCCATTCGCCGAAGCCTCGGGGCGGCTTACAACAAAAAATTAAAATAACATTTTATGGCATCCTGACAGATCTGTTTCAGAAATATGAGTTATGAATTACTTAAATGATATAGGCTGTACATAACGTATGCTAAACAGAACTGTAGAATACACAATCTGCAAAGAAGCAAGTTATATATATTTGGCACATTACATTTTGATGGTTACCCGGAAAGTTACAGATGTAATCCCCTGACTGAAAATACTAACATATTGTTTCCTTCATCTCTTCATCCATTCCAAGGTCAGTTCTCTGTGGATGAAAAAAGCCTGCTTAGCTGCCATTCATTCCTTTGGGGAAAAAGTAAAGGGACTCTTGGAGAACCCATTTGTGAGGGTTTTCCAGTTGCAAGGTTGACAGCCATTGAGAATCAGACCTGTACCTGTCTGTATAAATTCAGGCTGGGTTGTGTTTCTAGCTTACACTAAGAGCCTGACAGTGACTTGGATCACACAATGTACTAAGCTTATTCTTGCTTATAAGCCATGGTGGGCTAGAATGTTTGCCACAGTGGCTTCATTTTTGGCTCATAAAGCACCTTGACAGTTGAGTCTATTTGTCCTTCAAATAGCTTGCCACTGAATGCAGAAAACACAACCCATCATGACAGTTTCACTTGACAAAGGACCCCCCCCAAAACTGCTACTTTTCCCAAACTTCCTGACAGCCCCAAAAGTGCCCAATCAGCATTTGAGGGTAGCTAGCCATCCCTCACATCCTGCAAGCCATTCTGTGTTCACCATGGCCTGACTTTTTCTTTTGAGATTAGAAAGCCAGCTATCAAACCATCTTTCATGATTTTTATTAGGACAGCTACAAGCAGTCCATCAAGTTTTCCCTGCAATAACTTCAGGCCATCCTGTGGCCTCCTGCCCCATAACTTGCACAAATATCTGCACTCATTTTGGAACCTGTTGTGCAGGATTTGCATGAGTCCAACATGACAGTGAATACCCTGGAGTAAATATTGGCTAGGAGGTCTCATTTTTGAGTTGGAAAATTTAAACAAGGGCTCCTTGGAGGGGCATATCGTAGCTGTCCAAATAAGAGATTACTTTTTTAAAGTCCCACAAATAAAAGCAAAAGCAGTCAAGCCGTGGCACACCTAAAATGGCTTGCAGCAGTGGGGCATGCAGGAACACCTTGTTCTTCCCACAGTATCCCCTGGTATACCTACAGGAAGACTGAATAGGAGGGAAGGGGGGACCCTACCCTTGGTGTTGGAAGAACTGGCAGAATATTGGTAATTGGTTCATATAGTTATACTGAAGCAATTGTTCTTCTGTTTCTACAGCTTGCAGGTCAGGATTCTATAAAGCCTTTGCTGGGAATATCAAGTGTTCCAAGTGCCCTCCCCACAGTCAAACCTTTGTGGAAGCCACATCTGTGTGTCAGTGTGAAAAGGGTTACTTTCGAGCTGAGAAGGATCCACCAACCATGGCATGTACCCGTAAGTTTGATCCATACTGGTATTTGAAATTCTTTCCTTGTCCCTCTCATTATTTGAGAGGATAAAAATAACACTTCTTTTATATTCCTCTCACAAAAGCTTAACACAAGAGCATGTTTTTCTTAATCAATAATGCAAATCAGGTTTACACTTATTCCCAGTAGTCCTTTAAATGAGTGAAAAATATGCCTCAGACCGAAGTGTTAAATAACACAGTACTAGAAAACATAACTGTTAATAAAATGTCCACACATTTCAAATCTGGGTACCAGTACGTGTATATTTTTAAAAAACTTTAGACAAAATATATTTTGAGATTACTTGATAATAAATACCATGTTTCTGCCAAAATGAGTATTACCCTCTTTTCCTCAGGCTTGAACAATGCTGTCCAGAAAATATCTTTCAGACACATTGGATAAAAAATTAAGTATCCCAAAGCAGGGAAATAAGAAGCATATTAGTCATTTTTAGGCATATTTGAAACCAATAGTGTGTGTATTGTAATTGCATTTTCCTGCTTATAAAAGTGTTATGAATAAGAGTGAACACACATATAAGGGGTACATATGCTACAATATATCTGCAATACATGTGCCTTGAAAATGTCTTTAAGAAGATACATACCAGCCCCTTTGATAGGTCTAGTGCTCAGACTATAAATAGGGCTATAACATGGAAGACCAGGATGAAATTTCCAATTAAACAAAATCAAACCATTACAATTCCCATCAGCCATTCCTCATAGCAGGCCAGACTGGCAAGTAGCATAGTCCAACCCAATAAAATGACATCTGGTACTTCCGTTACTGAACCAAATACTGCGCCCAAATCTCCAAGCTGCTGCCAGTCCAAAAGAAGATTTAATGCTGAAGTCACTTGAAAACAGGGATCAAAGACATTTATCCTGTCCTAAGCTTTGCAACAAGACCAATTTAAGTAATTGTATACTGTCTCCAAACTATGTCTCCTGTCCATTCTGCCCAGAAGAATGTACATCTCTGTTAAACTTTGTGTAGTCCATGAGGGGGATATTGAATGGCTTTCACATGGCAGCAGTATCTGCAGCAAAGGAACACAGGAATTTCACCATTCCATTCATGTTTCCTCTGATGTGTTTTGTCCTCTTTCCCAATCTTCCAACTTCTCATTTAACTAATTTTCTTAAAATACTTCTGAAACTGGATCACACACTAAAGGGGCAGGGCAGTAGTTCCTTGACAACTTTTGCCACACCATAAGCCCACCACCACAAGCCCAGAGGTGGGTGACAGAATTTCTCACTGCAGGGGGATGGTAGCGGGGGCAGGTTGCAAATTGCATTGCTTTTGTATAGAAATTGTATCTAAAGTTCTATGAGGTAGCTTTCCATCTTCCTACCTTTAACAGTTGCTGCTTTCCTAAATTGTGTCTCAGGAATTCTCAGCTGCTGAGAATTCTGTAAATAGGGCCAGAATTGCTTGGGAATGACACTACATGATGACGTAGTATTATTTCCAGGACTATCCTTGAAGGGAGAAGATACTACATTATCTTCCAAGCCATTCCTGGAAATTATCTCCATTTTTAAAGTACTCAGCCTTTCCACAAGGCTGCACAGCTTACCTTTGTTAAGGGGAGAAAAAAACCCAAGGAATCCTCACAACCACATAGAGAAGCATCAGGTCTTACGTTGTGAATTTTCTATCTCTTCATTGTTGGAATTTCTTTCTAGCCTTTCTGGAATGATGCAAAGTTCTTGTTTAAACTTTATGATGGGATATATTAATGACATGTGGAAACATCGTAAGAAATGTGTATATTACAAATTAATATATTGATCAAGAGTCAAAGAATAGCACAACTAATCTTCCATCCACAATAGGACTCTTATCCAACACCAACCATCATAGCAAGACATTTTTGGAACTCAACACTTCTTTTGAAACTCAGAGTGGGTATGACTACTAGAACTCTCTGGATTCTGGTCAATAAATAAGACATTATTTAGGTGTTAGTCTAATTATTATATCCTTACTGCACCAAAGTGGAATAATGGCTGAAATGCATTAATTGTTGAAAATAATTGCTGTTCTTCCTTGCCTATACAATATATAGCAGAAGGAAATCCCAGAGCGAATTGCTCACAGATGTCTGCACGAAGGTTGTGGCTGCCAATTTTTTTCCCAATGTTACATATAATCCAGAATTTATATATGATAACAAAGCAATCAGACCACATTCATAAAAAGCCCAATGACACATAATATAGCAGAATCTGAGGATTAGAATTAATTGTCTCTCTTTGTTCCAAGTTTTAAATCTTAGTAAATGATTCACTGCATGTCATTACAGCTTAATATTTGCATGAAATCACAGTTTAGATGGCATAATTTAATGGCAATTAAAAACCTATTTAGTCATCATGCAAATTGGCATGAGGGCCCTTGAGTATGAAGGGTGTCTTCAGTATCTGCACATGGACATTTATAAACTTTTAAATATTCCTACCACAGTTAAGTTTTTCTGTTCATGGTATTTTGAATGCACATTCAATTATATTTTTATCTCCCAAGTCCTCTGTACATCATTTTACTAAACAACAACACTCATTAGCAAATTACAAAAGCTTGTGAATCATTTTTTCTTTAGAGGCTATCTATGTAAAAATGTACATCTACCGACAAGCTAAATAAAGAAAGCATTTATTTATTTATTTGGAATGCTTGTATGCTGCCCCATTCGCATAAGCCTCAGGGTGGCTTCCAACAAATAAATAACAATATACAAAAATATACAGAATTGGAAACATCCCATAGATAGATAAAAGCAATAAATAATTTAACAATTAATTAAAATAACATTTAAATAAAAAGGTCATGGCCTGGCTCCCAAAAGCAAATAACGACGGCACCAGGCGGACCTCTCTGGAGAGCACATTCCACAGATGGGGCGCCACTGCAGAGAAGGCCCTCCTCTGGGTACTCACTCGTCTAATATCCTTCACAGAGGGCATAAAGCCATATTCTCGTGAACTAAATTTAATATAATTTTGATCATCTTATTCAAATGTTATAAGGCTTTAAACAAAAGGCTGATTCATACATTTTGTTGTTGTTCATGGAAGTAGCCCTGCATTTGTCCAGGTACATCTGTACAATATCAGAAATAATTACCCTGCTCAGCTACAGAAACTACATGTGTGGTAGCAGTCCTCCATGTATATATCCCTAGCTTTGGGGGTAACTGGGTATGCAGCTAGGATCCGCACATGACACCTTCTCCATTCTAAAGTTTGCTTCGTTTTATTTTACAGCTAAAATCTGAAAGGTCTGGGCTAGATTAAGCTCCCTAGTTCACCTTCCCCTTTACAACAGATTGTTTTAATATTTTCATTTTCCAAGCCACATCTGTTCCATGCTTACCCTATGGAATTAATGAGAAGTGTCAATTGGGCAATTGTGAAAAAATGTATGGGTAAGAATTGCATTGATTTCTGTAACTTAGTCCCATGGTTTTAAAACTACATTTTTTCACAGTCTAGATACTAAATATAGTGTATGCAAGTTTTATATTTTAAAATAACTAGGAGTCTTGCTTTATCAGATATCCAAGCCACATCCTGAATCTTCCTGAGTTCTGTTTATTTAATCATGAATCTGTCTTTGTTTTCTGTCTTTGTGTCCAACTTCTTCTGTTCTTGTCCTATATTCCTATACAGCATGTTACATATGCCATGATACTAATCAGTAGAAGCATTAGTAAATTATCTTTTTCTCTGTATGGGTTCAGGTTGTATAAAAAGGGAATGTATTTCCCTGTGTTCTACATTTTAATTGTTTCCTAAATTATATTTTTGCCATATTTACTCTAACTACTTAAGAGTAAGTCCCACTGAGTTCATTAGAAGCTATGCATAGGTCAGTATGTATGAGATTGTAGGCTTTATAGGTACAAAGAAAGAGTGCTTTGAAGAGTCTTTTTAAAAAATAATCATGCACCATCTCTTATACAAACTATTTTCTTTGTTCTTAGGGCCTCCTTCTGCTCCACGGAATGTTATTTTTAACATAAATGAAACAGCTCTCATATTAGAATGGAGCCCCCCAAGTGACACAGGAGGGAGAAAGGACCTCACCTACAGTGTAATTTGCAAGAAATGTGGTTCTGATGCCAGCCAGTGTGAGATATGTGGAGGAGGGATTCGATTCATTCCAAGACATAGTGGGCTAATCAATTCCTCAGTGACTGTGCTTGATTTTATATCCCATGTAAACTACACTTTTGAAATAGAAGCCATGAATGGAGTCTCCGAATTAAGTTTTTCACCCAAGCAGTTCACAGCTATCACAATTACTACAGACCAAGATGGTAAGTCTGTGTTAAGCTTATGCAATCAAATATAATTAAAGTTATTTTGTAAGCTATTGAAAGTAGATATCAGTACATCATACTTATAGAAGCACTATTTGGACTTTCATAGTGCCATTTTAAAATAAAATTTCAAGAAAACAAAACCATCTGTGAAGTCTTACTAGTTAAACCAAATTAACTGAAATCAATATAATACAAAGTTGACATGTATACTTAATTTTTTTTTTAGGTATGTCTGATTTTTTATACTTTTTCCATTTTCACCCATGAAATTATTAATGGCACAGTCCAGTGAAGTTGTCTCCTGTGCAAACACTGTTCAGTTCAATAGCACTCATGCCAAATTACTTGTGTGATTTTATCATACACACGCACACACGCAGCTCTCAGTCTACTGGAGTAAATGGTAACATTTCCATTGATTTCAGTAATTTAAGGCAGTACCCAGAGTTTCCATTCTTATGTACATAAGAAATACATTTCAGATATTTAAAATAGTCATATATAAATATTAATGTATAACTAATTGATACATGCTCTATGAATTTAATTTTCCATGTACTACTCTAGCTGCATTGGTAGATACAAACTGAATGCTCTCCTTAAGCAAAGCACATGATACTATTTCACTAAAGCATTGATAATATTGATATTGCAATTCTTTCAGATGTAGTCAAAGGTAGGGACTAGATGCTGTACCAGTCCCTATACAGATGGCCTTGTCATGTTTTGTACAACTATGTGGTGGTTTAACTTGTTTCCTGGCCATGCTGAATTTATGATATTGTGGCTAGTCTGATCATTTTTAACATTGTCAAAAGGATGACTGCATGAATTTATGTGGTGATTGACCTAATTGAGCAAGCAAGGTCTGACTCAGAAGCAATTTTCAAGCATCCTTAAGAGAAAGTATGAAATTGGTGACAGAGGCTGTATTCCATAAGCAGGATTCTCTCAACCCTTACTCTCCTCTACCAGCTGAAGATGATTTTAAGACTTGTCTTACCCAATTCAGTCCCCTCTATACTGGTTCATATTGATGAAAGCTGTAAGCCAATTTTGAAGAATATACATTAGTAGGACTACTTTAAGGACTTTGACCACTTTGGAGTGAAAAGAATCAAGTACGGTTGGGATTATGTTCAATGGATAATCATATCCTCTAATCCTAACTAATTGGCCCTCCAAGGATGTTTTCAGATCAAAAGTATTCTGCTTGGCTGCAGCAGACTGCAAGTTATAGGGCAATCCAAAAAGCAAAACAGCAAAATGGTGTGGCACCAAGTTTTCAGCCTGGTAAAGGAACAGGAGACAGAACTACAAAACAGTTTTTTAGTCGAAACATAGTTAAGCAGGCAGATACAGGCCAGGAGCAGAGTCAGCAGGGCAACCACTGCTAGCATAGAATGTCAACCATCAGGACAAGGTCTAAGAAACAAGGAAGAAGGCACTGAAAATAAAGAATAATATGACTTTCAGCACTAGCTAGGCAAACATTGCAGGCTTGTATCACCAGAACCTACTGAATCCTATTCATGAATCAGCTGCAGTGTAGCTCTCTGGCCAGAGTCCTATTCATGAGGAATCACTTTCTTCTGAGGAATCTTTCTTTGTAAGTGAGCGTTTCTGAAAGGCATTCTACTTCCCTACTACTTAAGGTAACAACATTCCTGGGGGGCCAGGGGGTGGATGAGCTTCTGTCTCAGAGGCAGAGTCCCCTACCCCAGAAGTTGGGCTGCAGCCATCAGCCTCAAAAGCCCATGCTCTACCAACATGGATGGTGTAATGGCAACTATTTCCAGGAGCTCTAGTTTTTCAGAGTAGAAATTCTGGCAGGGGATGACTAAGTTGGAGGGCACCTGTCAGTTTAAAGAATCCTGGAAGAAAGTTTCAAAACCTGATTTCCCAGAGCCAAGGCAGAAGGCTCCATAATTGTTATTCCAGTCATTAGCTATGAGCCTTTAAAATCCCAATAAAGATTCATAGTTAAGAAATTACGATCTAAATCCTTTGGTGAAAATCAGTTTGTGAGCATCACCACAAAAATCTCAACCATTCTTTGCCTCAGCACACAGAATAAGTCCAAAAAAAGCAGGAAGCCTTTCCAGTTGCCAGTACAGTTTTTCAAGCAAAGTGTCCTGGTGATCCTTCTGTCTTAAATACAGAGGAGTGGCCCACTCCTACTGGACATTCAATCCTGGTAGGAAAACCAGGTTTTCAGGTAGTTCTTGTGCCTTACTGGATTCATATGCACTTTTCTGTTTCATTCAGAACATATCAAAGGAGGCATCCCTAAAACACCTTCTTTCAGAGACTACTTCCTGCTTCAGTATTCTCTTGGAAGACATCCCTCATTGAGAAGCAGAGGCCAGGTCTCCCCGCTGTAGGCCATATCAGTGTCCTGAGTTTCACCCCATCCTGGCTAGTGTGCAAGTGGAACCTCTTGCAAAAGTGATCAGTCAGGTGTCTTACTGCTTAATTGTGCCTAACTCTACAGCTTCTCCCTCTGATTCTGAATCAATGTCACAGGCTGAGGCTTCCTCCAACTACACACCAGACTGGGGATATGTACCACAGGAAGGATGAAATTAGTATTGATGAAATATACCATGTGTTAGGAATTCTGTGTTAACTGCCCCTCCTGGTAAAGGTAAACATACTCCATCCTTCATACCATGCCATTCAAGTCCAGTGATAAATGAGCACTTTCCTCATCACTTAGCCTCAGATCCTAGGAGTTTAAGCTTGGTAATCTCATGATATGTGCAATTTGTACATTTGGGGTGGGAGTTCTAGCCTTTTGTTCCTTACCTCCATTGTTCTTTGTGGGCCTGCTGCTTTTTACTATACATAACAAACAACCAATAGTGAGAATACAAATTAATTGTTATAATTATAAAAGGACAAGATCATAAGGGAATGGCTGAGTTAATTAAATGAGGTTTATATAAGCCTCCTCCTTTAATATGTTTCCTTATTGCCCTATGGAACCAGTGACTTTTGCTGGGAGGGTTTCTACGGATATTTATTTTCTCCTCCAGATCTTTATTTCAACTGTATTTCAATTTACTTCATATTTTCTACCCTCCAGATCCCCAGATTTCTGAGAAAAGTACATTTCCTTCATTGAGGCTTATTAATAGGTAGCCCCCATTTCAGAATGTCTATTTTACTTCCTATATAATTTCCATCAACAACACTCAGATCCATTAATCTTCTTCACCAGGTCACCAGCATACTTTTTGTTTGATCTTTTAACTATATTGTCTTCAGTTGTTCATCTTCTGAAAATGTCTAAGGGAAAAAAATGGTACTACCTTCATAAATGTGTTTTATGGAGGCTTGCCATTTCATTTATCACCATATGTTTTTCTGCAAAGATCTCTCTTTATGTCCAAATAAACTGAGTAAGACTCTGAAAAGTGATCTTTAAATTCTCTGAAGCTTTACCAGTAACATTTTAGTAATGTAAGAATTATTGTGGGGAATGCATGCAATGTACGCATTGGGGTTTTGCTGTCAGACTATCATAGATTATAAGGCATAGGCCTTTCTCTGTCTCTGCTTGGATAAAGTGCAGTGAAAACTAGCATGGTTAGATTAAAAAGCAGAGATTAACAAGAAAATTTACACACAAACGCACACACAATCTCTTACCATCTCTAACTGTGCACATTTGCACAGAATCCTTGTACCAGTTTTGTATTTCTCCCTGCTGCTATGATAACCACTGGTGAAGAAATAAAAAGATATTGGTACCTTGGTTAAGTTTAGGGCTTGTTAGAACTTTGGTTTGGTCAAGGAACTTTGTAACTAGGTCTGCTATTAGCTAGGTTCAGACATAATGCTAAGCCACAGTTGAAACACTGTGAGATGTCTGTGTTGCCTGAACCCTGTCAGAAACTTACCATTTTGCATGTTTGTTTTTCTGTGTAACTTTGGAGAGACAATGGTCTGTTCTATGGTTTCTACTTTTCACCATAGCTTATTTGATCATATGAACCCAAGCTGCATGGTTTATATGATATTACCATGGAAGACATGGCCCACCGTCACCTACTGCCCTTACATCTGACTCCACTAGCATACCCACTGCTGCCAGATGTGAGGTGCAGGGTATCCATGCTGCAGTTTCTTAGTGGATCTGGGAAAACTAGCCATGGGATTTCTACTAGTATAGTCTCTAGTCTGACATGGTCCTCAGCCTCTTTCTTGGCAGTAACTGCATTAGAGTTCCTTTCAGGGTTTCCTGCTTGCCTTCAGAGAGATGTGAGGGTGGGTGGCACAGATGCCCCCCACAGCCCCACAAGCAGCCCTTGACACCCTAGTGCATGAAGATGTATAGACTAATGTCTGAGCAGTTAGGGAGCAGACAGTGCTGGGTGTAGTGAATGGAGGAAGTAGGGTACCTGCATCCAGTGTCAGGAGGCATGCGAGTGTGGGGTGGAATGTTGTGGAGGATGGATAGTATGTGGACACAGCTGTCAGCAGAAGAGCTCACACACCAGCAGAAGAAACTACCAGATTTATTAATTCATGGCATGTTTTTCTCTCTGGCACAGCCACTCTTTTTCTGTGGTGTTACAGAAATAAAAAGCCATGTTTTGCAACAGCAGTGTGAATTTAGCATGGGGCAGTCTATGGGACTGGATGGAGAGGAGTGAGGGATGGGGCAGATGATGCCATTCACAGCACAGCCAAGCATGAGGAAGGGGTATCAGAGAAAGTTACCTCCAAACACAACGACATGGGCAGAGGAGGGAGTGGGTTTCAGGACACTGGATGAAGGTGGCTGGGCCCATGGAAGGAAGGAGGCAAGGGAGGACACAGCCTGCCTTCATCAGTGTCTTCTCTATGCTGGGCTGCAGGGTGGAGATGGCTCCCTCTAGTATGTGTGAGCTCTGCCCAAAGGGATCTTGCACTCATCTGCAGTAAGGGAGGTATAGGGAAGATTGTGGGTAAGCTTACATGTTGGCATGGGGAGTGGCAGCATGGAG